TATATATATATACATATATATTATTACGTCCTCCGAAAAACTCCATATCGCTTCGGCGTGACGTCACGAAAGCGGAATGTTGCCATGGCAACGCCGAAAATAGAATCAACAACTGATCGATCGTGATCACGCGGTTGCCGCGTGACGTCACGATCGATCTAAACGTTAACGACATTGCGCGTGCGCAACGAATCCATGCAAAATCAGTAATAATTCAATAAATGCAATTTAAAATCAGCAAAGGTGCATCGGATAACAAGTCATAAAGATGGAGGAATATCCTTATGCCGCTTGAGATTCGTGCAGCTGTTAATTCGTGAGATATAATTAAAATCATGATTTATTTGAAACCTAGCGATGCATCAGCTACCAAAGTGACACATCCTTTAGATACGTATCACAGTTTAAAGCCGTTTTAATTTCTTGCTAAAATTCATATAATAAATGTATAAATTATACTTAAATAAACAGTCTAAGATTCGCTGGGCATGTCTTTATCCTCGTACAAAGAATTAACTAATGCTCTCTATCAAAACCCATGTATAAAAACTAGCGAGACTCAGTAATGGACGCGTGCGATTTTCACGCTGCAAGTGATGCGACGCAGGCGCGGAGTCACGAGGAGCCCCGTCAACTTAAATACCTTCAAATTTTAAATTCTAAATACTGTAAATTAATAAAAATTTAATTCATAGAATGTTCCAGAACAATTTTAGAAAACAAAATTGTATGTTGACAGGTCAACCCTCTTCACTCCCCAGCATCATCAAGCGTTAAAGCATATATACAGCGGCTCAATCGAATCGACAGTTAGTTAGTTCGTTCGTTAGCTCTTTTCGTTAAGTTAGATTTCGTGGAAGACTTTTGCGTCAAGTGGCCAACTGCGACCAGGGCGTCCGAGCCGTGCTTAGCTGTGCAAGGATTGCGGTAAAGCAAGGGGTCACCAACGCCGTCACCGTCGAAGTGAGTGACATTACGTGCCTCCGCATTTTGGCAACGTAACTTAATTGATCACCGGAAGCGGGAAATCTAGATTCGGGCAACTACCTTCTTACGTACATTAATATATGTAACAAATCTAAGAACTCGAAGAATTGTAATGAAATTGAAATTTTTTTGTCTATAAAGATATATATATATTGTATATTGTAGTTATCAATGCCGTCTACCGACTCTACCGTGAGTGCCGAGCCGGTTGATTCGCGATAAAACACGATTGATTATCGAAATTATAGTTATTTCTTTCTAAAATTTTCTTTTCTCTTCTTTTTCTTAACTCTTCTCTCTCACTCTTTCAAAATTTACAATTCCTGTCTCCGTGAGCTCTCGTCACGTGCGAACGGAGGTCCCCTTCCTCTGTAGTAATGGCGCCCGCCATCGGGCTTCCGTTTCTGCATATTCCCGAGAGAGAATTAATATTAAATTTTACATGCGTTTTCTTGGTTATCGATCAGTCGCTTTGATAAAACCGGTGAAAATCCTGGCCGCTCTCAGCAGATAGAGAGGGAATAATTTAACTCTGCACTCTCTCGTAGATGCCCAAACGCGGTGGACGCGAACGAGTGTATCGCACGTTGGTGCGGGAGCATATCAGAATTGGGGAATTTGATCCTTGGACATTGGTGTAACCTACATATACCCAGGCGTTACTGGTGTACAACCCTGTCCCCACCAATCACCTGGATCCTCCACTGGGTGCCGAGGAAGCGCCGCAAAAAGGGCCGCGGATCATTTCGGTCGACGAAGTGATGGGGAGCTTTGAATCCAACCGATCGGATGATTTTATATATTTGAAATCTAAATAAAACTATTAAGTATTAGTTACAAACGCTATTCGTTTCCGTCTTATTGATGATTATCCTGTGAGCCTTTGCTTAACTCCCGGTCGTGTAAAGATGGTGTAGAGGTATCGGGTAGACAAGGAACATACGCATAAATATAAACATGTGCAGCCACATTCGCGTAGTGACAAATTAAGATAGTGAATTCACGTCTCGTGCCGGGCGATTCTCAACAACCCCGGACGTGACATATATATTAGGGAGGGTGGGAGTAATACATATATATTACTAATGATAAATATTGCGAAGAATATTACTACGTCGACCCACCATCAGAGGTCTATTGATATTCGCAAATTCTCGCAAGTGCTTTAATACGCGTATCTCTTTATATAGAATCTCAATTAAATCTGGAGACACGGTAGGCCAAGCGCCGCGGCACTGCCGTGCCTCCTTTACGCGAAACTGAGAGTTTCGGGGGATTGAGATGATCAGATCTCAGTAACGGCTGAACGGATCAAGTTCTATATACGCTCAATCGATAGCAATTGCTTAAATTGTATAATAAAAGTGCTTTCATTTTTTCTCTACGTGTCCTACGAGCGAAGATATCACGACTCAAAGTCCGAATCTGTAAATTTTCACGCTTTATTTTTAAGATACGTCGTCGTCGTCATTATTATTGTCGTCGTTATCATCATCATTATTGTCATCGTCGACCACATTCCATTCGATGTCCTTCTGACATTCCTGCCGCAAGAGGCAAATGTGGCGCTAGTCTATACCGCTCGATCGTCATGGGACTCATGGGGCATGTGGACTGCGAGCGGAGCGGTGAGGTGAGAGGGGTGCAACTTTCGATTGATTTTCGAATAGTTTTTGTCCAGCTTTCGTAGTCCCTCTTATCGTTTCGCACCGCGCACAGTACAATGCCATTCGATCATCATGGAGCACTTGGACTGCACGCGGTGAGATGAGGTGAGGAAGGGCGGGCAAATGCAACTTTCGGCTGATTTTCGAATCGCCTTCGTCTAGCTTTCGCTGTTCCCCTCACATCACCGCTTCGCGCGCTGAACAATGCCATTCGACTGTCATGGGGCATTTCAGCTGCACGCGGTGTGGTGAGGGGGACAGTGCAACTTTTAGTTGATTTTCGAATCGCCTCCGTCTAACTTTCGATGTCCCCCTCACCTCACCGCTCCGCGCGCAGAACAATGCCATTCGATTGTCATGAAACATTTCGTTCGATTGCATGCGGAGCGGTGAGGGGGAAAATGCAACTTTCGGTTGATTTTCGAATCATTTACGACTAGCTTTCGCTGTCCCCCTCACAACATCACACCGCGCATATATATTACTACGAAAAGCAACTATTTACATTTATTTAATAATTTTGTCTTATATATGCGATTGCGTTAACGAATAATATGTTGTATTAAAATTGACGCGTTAATTTAGACGGTTAGTGAAAGCAGCCTTGGGGATTGTTTTGATGTGTCACGGACGCGAGTCGCACGTCACCCCCTCACCCAGCTCACCGATAATAAACCGTGCAGTCATCATTTTACATATATATATTAAATAAAATTATTATTTTAAATTCTACTGACTGCTGACCGATATGACGTATATTTAAAACTATCGCAGTACTATCACGAGTTACATTTTATTAATATATTACCACGAAAAGTAACTGATTATTAATTAAAGGCCAGTACAAAGTGAGCATACGTAAAGTGAATGTAACTTTCGGCTGATTTTCGAATCGCCTCCGCTTTCCGCTGCATATTAAATACATATATATATATATATATATATATATATATTTGAAATATATGTTTTAAATAAAATTATTTTAAATACTCCCGACTGCTGACTGGTATGATATTGTTACCTACGCCTATGTAACAAGCGACATGACATGCGCGGCTAGGCAACGACCTGCCTGTCGACAATTAGAAGGTCGACACCAGTTGTATACAGACATTCAATAGAGACACTCGCATATACAGATCGGCAATTTTCTAGTATTCTCGTATTCGTGTTATTACTCAAATTTATATTAAAACTAAGTATTGTGAAGAACACAACAATTGGCGACGAGAATTATGGAGTTCAAAGAAGCACTCATGTCACTGATGCAGCAGCAGCAGTAGCAACAAGCACTCTTGTAGCAGCAAATAAAACAGCAACAAGATTTTATGAATCACATGTCATCGATGTGGGCGAATTCAACGGATTCTACAAGGAGAGATACAAAAATGGAATCACTGGCAAATTCCATGTCTGAATTCATTTACGATCCAGAAAATAATTTGACTTTCGATGCATGGTATGTACGCTATCAAAGTCTATTCCAAGTCGACGCGCGGGAAATAGATGACGAATCCAAGGTCAGACTTTTATTACGTAAAATGAATACAATCTCACATAAACAGTACGTTGATTATATACTGCCGAAAGAATATAAAGAATTTGATTTCGAAACTACAGTAAACAAACTCACACGGTTATTCGGAAAAAAAATTTCTCTCTTTCACCAGCGTTATAATTGCATGAATACGACGAAATCAGCAAATCAAGATTTCATTTCTTATGCAGCGCTAGTCAATAAACGTTGCGAAGAATCAAAATTTACTACAATTACTGCCGATCAAATTAAATGTCTTATTTTTGCATGCGGTTTAAAATCGCCTACTGAAGCCGATATTCGAACTAAACTTCTCAATTTAATTGATACAAGGTCAGATACACTTACAATTGATGATCTCGCAATGGAATGTCAGCGACTCACAAATCTCAAACAGGACACATCCTTGATACAAAACCAGGGATCGTCTGAGTCAAAAGCAGTGGCGATAGTCAAAACCGATCAACAACGCAAACCGCAGGTGAAAAACACAAATAAATCAAAGAATCGACAAGGTAAGAAACAAATAAAAAATTCTTTACCTAACAAAGATTCAATGCCTTCAACACCATGTTGGTTTTGCGGACAATTACATTATTCTAAGTTTTGTACTTTCAAAAATCATAAATGTCAAAAATGTAATACTGTCGGTCACAAAGACGGATATTGCGCTTCAACTCAGAGAGTCAAAACGAAAACAATTAACGAAACGGCAAATCAAAACGTCAAGACGATTAAGGTCAATCAAGTTAATTCAAATCTTACTCGCAAATTTGTGAATATTTCGATAAATAATCAACCAATTAAACTGCAACTTGATACGGGATCAGATATTACCATTATATCAGAAAAGATTTGGTCTTTGTTGGGAAAGCCTAAAGGTTGTTCAACGTCTCATGTCGCACGTGACGCGTCGGGAAATCAGATCAATTTCAATCAAGAAATTAATTGTGAAGTAACCTTGAACGGAGTTATCAAACAACTACGATGTTTCGTAACAGCAAATTCGGATCTCAACATCATGGGTCTCGATTGGATCGCAGCTTTCGATTTATGGCAATGCAGTCTCAATAGCTTCTGTTCCAAGATCCATTCTCAAGCAGATTCGACGCACTTTGATATATCCTTCATTAAAGAAAATTTTAAAGAGGTTTTTTCCTCTCAATTAGGTCGCTGCACGAAAACTAAAGTCAAACTGAATTTAAAAAATAATTCAAAACCTATTTTCAGACCTAAGAGACCGGTTGCTTACGCAATTTTACCTTTAGTCGACGCAGAGCTTACAAGACTGGAACAAAATGGAATCATTTCACCAATCAAGTATTCAGACTGGGCAACTCCAATAGTTGTAGTAAGAAAAAAAAATGGAAAGATTAGGATCTGTCCGGATTTCTCAACTGGACTTAACGAATCATTGGAACCTAATCGTCATCCACTTCCATTACCAGATGAAATATTTTCGCAACTGTCAAACTGTAAGTATTTCAGCCAGTTAGATTTGTCAGACGCATTTCTTCAAATTGAAATAGAGGAGCAATCAAGGCATCTTCTAACAATCAATACTCACAGAGGTTTATACGTTTATAATCGTTTACCTTTCGGAGTCACCATAGCTCCAGGTGAATTTCAATCAATCATGGATTCAATGATATCTGGACTAGAAAACGTTTTTGCTTATATTGATGATATTGTTGTGGGTGGAGCTACAGTTCAAGAGCATAATCAAAACTTAACTTATTTATTAGAGCGAATAAAGGATTATGGTCTACATCTGCAAATAGAGAAATGTTGTTTCTTTACTACACAGATCAATTATCTGGGTTATGTCATCGATGGACAAGGATTACATCCAGATCCTACAAAAGTCGAAGCAATTAAAAACATGCCTGAACCACATAATTTAACTACATTACGTTCGTTTTTAGGAGCAATCAATTATTATGCACGTTTCATTTCAAATATGCACATTCTTAGACGTCCTTTGGATAATCTTTTAAAAAAGGATTCTAAATGGAACTGGTCTCCAAAATGTCAAGAATCTTTTAATCAATTTAAGAGAATTCTTTCTTCAAAGCTCTTATTAACTCACTACAATCCTCAGCATGAGATTATTGTAGCAGCAGATGCTTCAAATGAAGGATTAGGAGCATGCATTCTTCATAAATTTCCAGATCATTCGATCAAGGCAATCAGTCACGCCTCAAGGAGTCTCACAGAAGCAGAACGTAAATACAGTCAAATTGAAAAAGAGGCATTAGCAATCATTTTCGCAGTCACGAAATTTCATAGAATGATTTTCGGAAGACGATTCATCCTTCAAACGGATCACAAACCATTACTTCAAATATTTGGTAACAAAAAAGGAATTCCGTCGCATACAGCCAACCGTCTTCAACGATGGGCACTTCAATTATTATCTTACGATTTTAAAATCGAATACATCAAGACAACAGAATTTGGATATGCGGATGTTTTATCAAGACTAATCAGTCATCAACAACGTCCTGAAGAGGATTTTGTAATCGCTTCTGTCAAAATGGAAACAGATTTATTCTCAGTCCTCAATGAATCACTTCAGTCCTTTCCAATCACATTTCAACAAATCAAGGAAGCAACTAAAGAAGATGACATCTTACAAAAAGTTATCAACTTTACTTTGAATTCATGGCCTCAGAATGTAGATGATTCGGATTTACAACCATTTTTCCGCCGTCGAAACTCACTAACCGTGATTCAAGAATGTCTTCTTTTCAACGACAGAGTTGTAATTCCTCAACAATTCCATCAACAAATTCTCAAACAATTGCATAAGGGTCATCCTGGAATGGAGCGAATGAAAATCATAGCACGTTCGTACGTATATTGGCCAAGGATAGATCAGCAAATAGAAGAATTTGTCAGAAATTGCACACTCGCCGCGAAATCACCTATCAAGGTACCATTGTCAAGCTGGTCTCTTCTTGAAAAACCATGGCAAAGAGTTCACATAGACTTCGCAGGACCGTTAAATGGAGAATATTATTTTGTTTTGGTCGATGCCTTTTCAAAATGGCCTGAAATAGTTCCAACGCAAACAATCACAGCTCAGCGAACTATTGATATTCTTCAAGAAATTTTTGCAAGATTTGGTGTCCCTGAAAGTCTAGTTTCAGATAATGGAACTCAGTTCACTTCAGAAAAGTTTCAAAACTTTTGTCTTTTACAGGAAATCAATCATCTGCATACTCCACCGTTTCATTCAAGTTCTAATGGACAAGCAGAACGTTTCGTAGATACATTCAAACGGGCACTTTCAAAATGCGAGACAGAGGGGAAAGAAGTCAAGGAACATCTCTGCACTTTCTTGCAGTATTACAGGTCAACTCCAAATCCTAATATTCCAAATCAAGTTTCTCCCGCGAAAGCCTTGCTTGGAAGACCAATGCGAACAACGTTAGATCTGCTTAAGCCCTCGGAATGCTCAACTACTCAACCTGAGAAGCCTCTGCCTAAACAAAGGCAAGAAAAACAATACAACCGGAGACACGCAGTCAAATCCAAGAGTTTTGAACCAGGAACGAAAGTTTACGTTCAAATCCACACTTACAATAAATGGTCTTGGATCCCCGGAGAAGTAGTCGAAAAAGTTGGAAAAGTTATCTACAATGTACTTGTTGAAACACGAAGTCGTTTGGTTCGAGCTCATGCGAATCAAATCAAGTTGCGCGCTATCACGGACAATGATGACTCATCTCAACAGCAAGAACTCCAACTACCACTAGAGATATTGATAAACGCTTTCGATGATGGAGGAAATTCCACTTCACCTCCAATTCTAGAAGGCACCGGACAAGAACAGCTGCAACCTCAAGAACCGGCTGGAACGCAGGATCCGGGAACACTAACACAAGAGTCCCAGGATCTGGATCAACAAACAGAAACTGTTCAGCAACCAGTGCTGAGACGCTCTCAACGCAACAGACGTCGTCCACGTAGGCTAGAAGATTACTACTGTTACTCTTCCAGATAGGGGAGGTGTTACCTACGCCTATGTAATAAGCGACATGACATGCGCGGCTAGGCAACGACCTGCCTGTCGACAATTAGAAGGTCGACACCAGTTGTATACAGACATTCAATAGAGACACTCGCATATACAGATCGGCAATTTTTTAGTATTCTCGTATTCGTGATATTACTCAAATTCATATTAAAACTAAGTATTGTGAAGAACACAACAGATATTGAAACCATTCGACTGTCACGAGACATTTCGACTGCATGCGGAGCGGTGAGGGGGACAATGCAACTTTCGGTTGATTTTCTAATCATTTACTTCTAGCTTTCGCTGTCCCCCTTACCACATCGCACCGTGCACAGATCAATGCCATTCGATCGTCATTGGGCATTTGGACTGCACGCGGAGCGGTGAGGTGAGGGGGACAGTGCAACTTTCGGTTGATTTTCGAAACGTTTACGTCTAGCTCTCGCTGTCCCCCTTACAACACCGCACCGCGCATAATGTATTACTACGAAAAGCAACTGTTTTACATTTATTTAATAATTTTGTTTTGTAATATGCAATCGCGTTAACGAATAATAAAGAATAAATATGTTATTCTAAAATCAATGCGTTAATATTAGACGGTTAGTGAAAGCAGTCTTGGGATTGTTTTGATGTTGAAGAGCGGACGCTAGTCGCACGTCCCCCCCTCACCCGGTTCACCGATAAACCGAGCAGTCATAAATACATATTAAATAAAATTATTATTTTAAATACTACCGACTGCTGACCGATATGACGTATATTTAAAACTATCGCAGTACTATCACGATTTAAATTGTAATAATATATATATTACCACGAAAAGTAACTGATTATTAATTAAAGTTGCCAGTACAAAGTGAACATACGTAAAGTGTATGTAACTTTCGACCGATTTTCGAATCGCCTCCGCTTTCGGCTGTACCCCCTCATCTCATATTACTTTCATATATGTATATATATATATATATTTAAAATATATATTTTAAATAAAATTATAATAAAAATATTTGAAATATATATTTTAAATAAAATTATTTTAAATACTCGCGACTGTTGACTGGTATGACAAATATTTAAACCATTCGACAGAGTCATGAGATATTTCGACTGCACGCGGAGCGGTGAGGGAGACAGTGCAACATTCAGCTGATTTTCGAACCGCATCCATCTAACTTTCGCTGTTCCCCTCAGATCACCGCTCCGCGCGAAGAATAATTGCATTCTACTGCTATGGGGCATTTTAATATATTACTACGAAAAGCAACTGTTTTACATTTATTTAATAATTTTGTTTTGTAGTATGCGATCGCGTTAACGATTAAATTAAAAAATAAACATGTTATTCTAAAATCGATGCGTTAATATTAGATGGTTAGTGAAAGCAGTCTTGGGATTGTTTTGATGTTTGAAGGGCGGACGCTAGTCGCACGTCCCCCCCTTACCCGGTTCACCGATAAACCGAGCAGTCATTAATACATATTAAATAAAACTATTATTTTAAATATTATCGACTATTGACCGATATGACGTATATTTAAAACTATCGCAGTACTATTACGAGTTAAATTGTAATAATATATTACCACGAAAAGTAACACATTATTAATTAAAGTTGCCAGTACAAAGTGAACATACGTAAAGTGTATGTAACTTTCGGTCGATTTTCGAATTGCCTTCGCTTTCCGCTGTACCCCTCATCTTATATTATTACATATATGTATATATATATTTATTTGAAATACATATTAAAATTATTTTAAATACTCCTGACTGCAACCTGGTATGATGAATATTTAAACCATTCGACTGTCCTGAGGCATTTTGCCTGCACGTGGAGCGGTGAGCGGCAACTATCGGTTAATCTTCGAATCATTTGCGTCTAGTTTCTGCTGTCCCTCTCACCTCACCGCTCCGCGTGCAGAATAATGCCATTCGACTATATTGGGGCATTTCGACTGCACGCGGAGCGGCGAGGGGGAAAATGCAACTTTCGGTTGTTTTCGAATCGCCTCCGTTTAACTTTCGCTGTTCCCCTCAGATCACCGTTCCGCGCGCAGAATAATTCCATTTGGCTGCTATTGGGCATTACGACTGTTGGCGGAGCGGTGAGGTGAGGGGGACAGTGCAACTTTCGGTTGATTTTCGAATCATTTACGTCTAGCTTTCGCTGTCCCTCTCACAATACCGCACCGCGCATAATTATTAATATATTTCCACGAAGAGTAACTGTTTTATATTTATTTAATAATTTTGTTTGTTAACGCGATTGCGTTAACGAATAAAAAATAAATATGTTGTTTTAAAATTGTCGCGTTAATATTAAGTAAAGTTGCCAGTACAAAGTGAACATACGTAAAGTGAATATAACTTTCGGCCGATTTTCGAATAGCCTCCGCTTTCCGCTATACCCCTCATCTCATATTATTACATATATATATATTTGAAATATTTATTGTAAATAAAATGATTATTAATTGTCAGCGCCAAGTTAATTACACATTTACTTAATTCTAATGACATGTATCATTTGTATAAATGATTTAATATCAACAGTCGGCGCCAAATTAAATTCTACCATCTTTTCTTTAATTATCCTTATTATTTATTTAATTCTAATGGCATGTATTATCTGTACCCATATAGTACTATTATTTAAATTCTACTAAATTAAAAAGTAAAACCCATGAGCTACCATCTTTATCTTCATACAATGAAACCTAAGTATGTATATGCCTATAAACTTACTTTTTTAAAAAAAGGTAGAAAAAAGCGCTAAGAGTGGGTGCTGCTGGTCATAAAACCATTTGGGCCAGTTTCACCAACGTCAACTACTTAATCGACTGTGAAACTGACCAATCACATTTGCTGTTTAGTAGAACCATCTTTATAAACCTACATGATTTTATCCTTACTTACTTAATTCTAATGACATGTATCATTTGTATAAAAGATTTGATATCAATAGTCGGTGCCAAGTTATTCTACCTTATTACTTACTCAATTTTAATGACATTTATCATTTGTATAAAAGATTTGATATCAATAGTCGGCGCCAAGTTACTCTACCTCATTACTTATTTAATTTTAATGACATTTATCATTTGTATACAAGATTTGATATCGATAGTCGGCGCCAAGTTAAATTCTACCAAATAAAAGAGTAAAACACAAGTGGTACCTTTAATCTTTAAGAACCCATATAGTACTATTATTAAATTCTACTAAATTAAAAAGTAAAACCCATGAGGTACTATCTTTATCTTCATACTTTAGTTACCCGTTTTAGTATCTTATTGTCCCGCGAATGCGTTTAATATTCATAAAAGAGCGCAAGTTTAATGAAAGGACGTGAGAATGGAAGAGGTTGTCCAAACAATATATATCATTTATACTCAGACTAAAATCAGTATATTAATCGAATTTTTGGTTACAAGCGCGGGTCGCTACTTCACTATTCGCTTACAATCTTCTGCTCATGGAATAATATATATTTCCGTCTCTCGGTATACACTGCGCTATATAAAGAGATACGACTACTCTGAAACACGTCAGCTGAGCGACTATCCCTTTGTCAAATTTTAACGCTTGCTCCTGTCCGTCGCGTCTTTCTCGCAATTTCTATTTATTGTCAATATTTTTCGTGTAACCTATCGGTCGTCGTCGTTATATTTACAATACGAAATTATATATTTCTAATTACAATTTAATGCAAGATAATCATTTCTAATTACGTTTCTCTTATCAATTCATATACAAATTTAATAAAAATATGATGCAGAAAATATATTGCGGAAAAATAATCTATGTAATATCTCTAACTCAGATTTCTTCAGCCTTGATTTCTTGTTTTCGCTTATATTGCTAAACCGGTGAAAAGAAACGGTCGCAAGAAGTTTGTGGATTTAAAGGCTCTCTGTGTTTATTCGCGTCAGCTGTTTCCCGTTATATAGGTCAAGTATATGTTCGTATACCTGAATGCCTTTACCTATTCTAATTTAATGCACTCTTATGTTTCCAAGGCTGATAGTGGTGACTTGGTCACCACAATACAATGAAACCTAAGTATATGCCTTTGTATTCTTAATAAAAGATCTTCCTATTCGAAACCAAGTGATTTAATTCTTCTTTAAAAAAATTATATCACAATTAATTTAAAAACAAAATGAAAAAAATTTATTTAAATAGAAAAATTTTTTATGTAAAAACACTTCGCGCTGCTTGTTCTCGATTTCGATGTAATAAAATACAGTAATAAAAATAAAAAACATTTTCACGAGAATTGAAGTATATAGTATGTATATATTCGTGTATATGTATGTGCGAGTGAATTGTATCTCAATCCTAATATAATAACGTCATAATAAAATTATATATGGATGAAACATTTAGTATAAAAGAGATTAGAAACTACGAGAGTTAAAGTATGCAATCTGTATGTATATTCGTGTAGAAAATATGCGAGTGAAATGCATAAAAAAAGAAAAGTAAGCTGTATATTTATTAAATGTAACATTTAGAATATGTTTACTATAATTTTTAAATTATCATTACTCTCTTTTTTACATACATTTGTATTAATTATTATAGCTTTTAGATAGTTTTTATTGTTTTTCTTATTCGCCCCAGCAGCACGAAGTGTTTTTACACAAAAAATTTTTCTATTTAAATAAATTTTTTTCATTTTGTTTTTAAAAATTAATTGTGATATAATTTTTCTAAAGAAGGATTAAATCACTTGGTTTCGAATAGGAAGATCTTTTATTAAGAATACAAAGGCATATACTTAGGTTTCATTGTATGAAGATAAAGATAGTATAGTTTTCATTGTTTTTCTTATTCGCTCTAGCAGCGCGAAGTGTTTTTACATAAAAAATTTTTCTATTTAAATAAATTTTTTTCATTTTGTTTTTAAATTAATTGTAATATAATTTTTTTAAATAAGAATTAAATTACTTGGTTTCGAATAGGAAGATCTTTTATTG